CCCCTCCAACAAGAATGGTGCTGCTAAGGGAGCCTTGTCACTCTGACACAGTTGAGGAAGCCATCTTTATGGCACACATGTCAGGACCTCAGGACATCTATTTACTGTTACACAAGGGCGTGGGTAGCACACAGGCCTGGAGGTGAAAAGCAGCAATGAGCCCTGATGACTCCCAGAGGCAGGACTGGCAATGGAGAGGCTGACCACTGCCTGCCTCAGGAGGGTGCAGAAGGCACACTCAAACCCTGCATGTGGTCATCAACCTAGGATTAATCCAGGAGACAGGAGGAGGGCTTGGAAGGTGGTGTCCCTCATCCCCTGTGTCACTGCAACTGTTCCTGAACCTAAAACCTGGATATAGTCTCCATGGTTCTTGGCTGTTGGACAAATGGCCTTGGATATCCTGCCCTTGTGCCTGGAGGCTGGATGGGCTCCTTGGATACCACGCATACTAAGTCCTTGTCTGTGCACAATGTAGAAAGGGAAACACTGCCTTGAGCTGTTTTCCCTTACCTCTTGTGATATCTTGAACTTCAGCATTCACATCTCAACACAAATGTTGCTGGTCTCGGGGCTTTCCTGGGACCATCTGTACGAGCAGGGGCTCAGGAAGAGGAGGGAGTGTGGGATGAGACACAGCACTGTGGTGCAAACCGAGGAGGAAGCTGCATGGGATAGAACCAAATGAAATAGGGTGAAAGGATGGTGAAATACACAGACCAAAATACAACTGTTTTTGTGTGAGGCCCGCCACCCACTCCATAAAATGCTTCCACTTCATTTTCTATAATACGTCAGTGCTGCCCTTTCTCCTGACCATATCATCAATTGTATGCTATTTACTGTTTTCCTCATGAACCGAAGCCTTATTATGGCGTGAAAATCCCAGTTCAATTTTGTTCCTTGGTGAACATCTCTGGCTTTCAAACTTGTAGAGGAAAGCTCACGTACATGACCCGGGTGAACAAGCAAATCCAAAAAAACAGAGACGAGTGAAAAGAAAGATCAGAAATGTGTTATTTGAAAGTAGATACTAATGATTTCTTATCTAATCTTCTGTCTTGCTTTGGTCATGACCTGTAGCTTTCAGAAATGTTGACGATGCTAATGGAGGGATGTATAATAGGTGATTGTCTAGGTAACGCTCCCAGGGAACGGCGTCACTGAACTCAATCTAGTTTCAGAAACTGCAAAAGTGTTTAAAATGTCCTTATTTCATACAGCTTTCAGCTTTCTGCTATAGCAGGTCAGAAAATTTTCAGCGCTGCCTGGGCCCACGAAGTCTTTGTTATTTTTTTCACACTGAATCTGTGGCTCTGTTCTGGCCTCCCACACTAAAAGATACAACATTTAATCTCTTGTATGGAGAAAATACAATGGACTTCTGCCCATTAGAGGAAACTGCACTGAAAGCTCTATGCAAAAAGAAAAAAGTATGAAAAAATATGTGGGAAAGTGTTATGTGTGTATCTGAGATATTATCTTGCTACCTGTGAAGATGTATATTTTAAAAATTGCATTGAAATAGAGTGTTTACTGCAAAGAGTTGTTCAAAGTCCCTTAAAACTGACTCACCAAAGGTTTACATGGCTGTGCCTCTCATGGAATCATGGAATCGCGGGGGTTGGAAGAGGCCTCAAGAGATCACTGAGTCCAATCCCTCTGCTAAAGCCGGTAGCCTACAATAGGTAGCACAGGTAGGCATCCAGGCATTTTTCATGGGATGCTTGTGTGCCACAGCTGAGGAACCATCTCCCACCCAGTGCCCTCAGTTTGCCAACACGTCCAGCCTGCTGAGCAGCTCTCTCCGCCCCCCCCCCCCCCCCTCCTCCCCGTGCAGTGCAGCGTTTCCCAGCCATCATATCCCTTCTTGTACAGGTGGATGCTCGTCCTCTCTCTGCCCATGTCACCTCTTTCACCTAGAAGCCTGCAGACCTTCTTTCCCCAGGCCCCATCCCATGCATGCATGAGACTGGTGCCAATGTCAGTAGCCTTTTGTTAATCCTGGGGTTGTCACAAAACTTCAGGATATATGAGTGTTGATATGTGCTGAGTGCTGAGTAGCACTGAGCTTTCAGATGGCAGTAACCCAGAATATGCATCTGAGGATACTTTACTTTCCCATGCTGTGTAAAACCCCAGGCAGTTTTCATCCAGTATAGCCATGGGTTGCTTACCTCCTGTTTGGGAGCACAAATTGTGATCCCCCATTCAGACTTTCTTGCCAAGAACATGAGCCAACCTTGTCCAGTAGAGGGAATTTACTTTTCCACTTCTTGGCTCTCAGCCCTCTAAATGATGTAACAAGTGACTCCAGACACAGTTAATTTCATTTACATTTTCCCCATCAGCTATTGAAGGTTCCAGTCGGATCTGCTGATTTCTTCCACAACCTTATAAAAACACAGATTTTATAGCTGGGCTTTCCCAGAAGCTCTGCATCAGGGCTCCAGTATGCTGGATGAATCTGCCATTAGTGTTTGGCTACGGTTTGTGCTTGCGTGTATGCATCTCATCCTTCACACAGTATACAGCTGGGTCAAAAGCGAGATTGCAAGGCACTTGGGGACTCTTCAATGTATGAAAATACTTCAAATGAAGGTCTTGGAACAGAGGACTGGATTACGAAGATGAGACTGGGAAATGAAGAGGGGGAAGTGGAAAGCAGAGAGCTTTCATGAAGTGAAAGAATCACCCATGGCCTGGGACTGCTCTTAATACAACCACAGATAACTTGGGGTTGGAAGAGCCTCTGGGTCCATCTGGGCCAACCCCAGCTCCAGCAGGGACACCCAGAGCAGGTTGCCCAGGCCCACATCCAGTTGGGTTTTGAAGGTCTCTGAGGAGGAGACCCCACAGCCTCTGGGCAGTCTGAGCCAGGACTCCATCACCTGCACAGTGAGTAATTGTTTCTAAATGTTTAGATAGAGCCTCCTATGTTCTAGTTCGTGCCCATGGCCTCTTGTCTTTCCCAGACCAGTACTTCACATGTGGACAAGTGTGTATCTTTCCCATGATTTGAAGTGGCATATGAAAGTTTCAAGCCAATGAGGTGCTGGCACAGGTTGCCCAGAGAGGTGGTGGATGCCCCATTCCTGGAGACACTCAGGGTCAGGCTGGATGGGGCTCTGAGCAACGTGGTGTAGCTGTAAGTGTCCCTGTCACTGCAGGCAAGATGGACCACATGATCCTGAAGAGTCCATTCCAATCCAGGTGATTCTATCATTTTATTCTATAATTGTAAAAGCAAAAACCATTGGTACCAGAATTTTAACAATGATTGTAAACATAGTAAAGAGCGCATTATCGCTGTGGTGGCCAGCATTGTTGTGTTAAAGTGAAAAAAGCTGTCCATTAGAGTGTGTATTTCACACCCTGGACTCCAGACCAGACATGTCAAAAAATGCTGCAGTTGCCTGTCAGCCCATGTCTCTGGGCTTTGATGTGAAAAGTGGGCTATGTGTGTGATCATGGCTGCTGAGATGACCAAGAAATGCAGCTGGAGCCGAGAGCAAGGTGAGGAACTGAACTGCTACATGGTGAGGGCTCAAATACAGGATTTCGAGGTCCAGATAGAAAGATTATATGAAAGTCTCAGTCTCAGTGTTAGCAATCTGTAATTAGCATCAAATACGATCATTTCCAGACCTGGACCTGTAGAAACCTGACAGCATATGAAAGAAATGTGCGAGTAAAAGAAGTGAGTAAAAATTTCCATACCCAGAAAGTCCTACACTTTCCATAGGCATACGGAAAAGAGTTAAAGCTGAACTGAAGAAGCTTCTGCCATAGACATGATGGAGGAATGGAGGAGCTCGTACTGCTGTAACCAGCAGTTCAGTCATTAGCAGCCCTGACTCATGGTGGCAAAAAAATATCCCAAGAGAAGCAAAACAGAAAAAAAACAGGAAAGGAGAGAGTGGCTGATAAAACATCCAATGGAACAGCCAATGGGATAATCAGTGACATAGTTTGTGGGATTTTTAATGGGATATCTGATAGAATGACCAATAGGATAGCCAATGGGATAGCAAGTGGGATAACTGATGGGATAGCCATTGGGATAGCCGATGGGATTCTCAACAGCCCTACAGGGCTCTTTCTCGAAAGCTTCAGAAAAAAATGGTGATGGCCCCAGAAAAAACAACTCAGCCACACTGTGCTCACAACCTGTGCCATGCAAAGGCAGAGGAGAGGCTGTCTCCAAGTCCTCTCCCCTCTGCGACCCAGCATTATCACTGCTGATCTTCCAGCTGCCAGTGAGCACGGGCACAGCAGAATGGTGTGGACACACAGCACTTGGTGTCCTCTCAGAGGGTTGGCCATCATGTGCTTTGCTCCCCTCTGGCTTTTTGGCTACACCTTGGATGTGCTTCCCAGGGTGCTTTGCACTCCCCCATTCCTTCATGAGAGAGTACGGGCTTTGTGTCTCCTTTGTGCTTTTGGAACTCACAACTCTACGGCCACAGCTTCCCCTTTCCATCTTTCTCTTTCCATCTAACAATGACAGGAGGGATGTGGAAATCAAACTGCATGGTTTTGGTGGAGGCAGCCCCAGCGGATGGTTAAGGGTACCTCCAGCCTGCTTGCAGCCTGCAAGGAGCTCACTGGAAGTGTCAGCACTAATTAGCAATTATGGTCCTGTTTCAACACACAAATGAATGACACCTCTCAGCATTCTGGTGGAGGAGGTCTCCCCCCCATCAGTAAGTGCCATTCGGCTTGGCATGTGTCACGGGAATGCCAAAAAGGACTGTTGCCATGGGAATGGACGCATCTGGAGCCGCGTCCCCCCTCCTGCCCACGGCAGCTGGATGCGGAGGGGAGCAGCACGGGAAGGAGGTGGCGGGGAGACGGGCACAAACAACGCGTGCACGTTAGAGGAGGGACCTTCCCAGAATGAGAGTGCCGTGGGACACAGCGGAGCGGGGACACCGAGCTGCCAGGCAGCGGTGGCTCAGCCTGGTGGGATAAGCCTTGTTTTCTGCTCTGGTGGGAAGCCCAGTAAAAGCCCAACAGTAGCAGGATGGGATCTGCCTCCTCAACTTACCGGCCCAAGTGTATTTATTTGGATATTGATGGAAGAATTCAAAAGGTACTTTCGCTGTTTTTCGCAGAGCGGCGTCTACGGACGCAGCGGTGGTGCAGGCGGTGTGTGCGCCGCTCGCCCTATTCCTGCACGGAGAGTCGGACGCGTGATGCATTCAGCCTCTGCTGAAAGGGAGGGGGGTCTGGAGAGGCTTCTGATTTTTATTTAAAGGGGAAGGGGCACCCGGCAGCCCGTGAACACCCGGTGCGGCTGGCAGGATCTTGGCAGAGGTGCGGGACCCCTCTCCGAGGGCAGCCTCCCGACAGTTTGCAAAGTTTTGCCTGCAGAGAAATGCTGGAGGGCACGGAGATGTGTGGGACTGCCTACCCGGGGGTTGAGTTTTCCTAGGGAGAAGTTACAGGGCAGGCAGGTGCCGGGTGATGCCGTGCGGTAGCGGTGTGGGAGCCCCCGCCGCACTTGCGAAGCCGTTCGTCGATATCGGTAGATGTTAATAGGATCTTGAGCTCCCGTTCCCCACCTGGCTTAGCCAAAGGTCACGGCACAGGGGAAGTTGTGGGGGAAGTGTGTTCTGGCTGAAGGAGAGAGCTCACGCCATTCAGCAGAGAGCCCACAGCTTTTCGACAAAAAAATGCTTTGGCATTCCTGTAAGTCCGTCCTCTTCTTCTTCTTTCTGTTGGCAGTTCCTTGGCCACAAAGCGAATGCCTTTCATGCAACAAAGCAAAAGCTACCAAGAGGCTCACGAGCAACTCAGCTCTGACTTGCAGAATTCCAGTCTTGATCCCTGGTGCTCCTGCTTGGAGTTCCTTTCACACGTCTGTGCTGTTTGTTGCTCCTTTAAAAAGAAAAAGCAGCAAAGATGCCCTTCCCCATCCCTTCTCTCTCCTGTATCAGGCAATGGCAGAGCTAGCAGCCCCTGCAGTCCCCTTTCACTGCCTGGGGGACCCCCTCAGCCTCACTGCATGGAACCACCATCGGAAAGAGGGCCCTGGGGAGGCTGGTGCTGTGAGAGTGCCTTCCAGAGGTGTCAGTCAATCACATTGGCTGTCATTTCCACTGGGGTGAGTTTATAAACAAGAGTGTTTCTCAGAGCCTTTCTCTGGAGAGTACTTTTGTCACTGAAAACACAGGAGAGACCAAAGCACATGGGCAAGCAAATGCAAACCCAGCCAGTGTTAAGCATTATTTTTTTTCTGGCCTGATAAACATCGTCTGTTTCTTTTGTCAGATGTGAAATTCCATCTGTGCAGTGTTTGGAAGGATTCCTGCTGTAAACATACTGCTTAAATGGGGTTCACCCAGGGGTAAGCAGGGCATAGCGCTGATCCTCATGCCTCCTCAGTAACAACATCAGCTAGGACAAAAAGCAGACCTTAATCTTCTGAGGAATGCGGTATTGGAGACTTCTAAAGGGAACTCATTAAATCAATGCTGAGCCGGTAATGAGGTATGAGCTTCATTAGAGCAGGGCTTGCTGAGTTTGAAAGGGCTCAGCTCCAACTCGCAGCTGGCTTGCTGGGTCTGGCAGAACCCTGTAAAAGGGCTGCCCGTGCTACAGGAGTGTGGCAGCCATTATTACGAGTGAATTTCGTGTTTCCACCACATCGTGTGTCCTCAGGTCACACTGCTGACTTCAGAGGTCGTTGTTTGCCCTCTGCACTGGAGGAAAGGAAGCGATGCCCCAGGCTCAGAGGGTGGCCGCTACCCCTGGGAGCCTACAGTTTGCAGATGAGCACTGGGAAATGCTCTGCAGCAAGCGCTGAGCTGAGCTAAGTAGGTTTGTGTGTCATCAGGTCCAGAGAGGCACAGCGGGGAGGGCAAAGGGATGTGTTTTAGTGCTTTGCTGCAATGGTCAGAGCTGGAGGAGAGTTTGGTAGCACTGAATAGATGCAATCCATGGGACAAACAGGGCAGGATTTTTTAATGTCAGAGCCTACAACACAAGGGGTGACTTCTGCATCCACCAGGAGAGGGCTTCTGGATGCGGCTCTGGGCAACCCGGTCTGCTGGTTGGCAATCCTGCACATAGCAGGGGGGTTGAAACTAGATGATCATTGTGGTTCTTTTCAACCCAGGCCATTCTATGATTCTATGATTCAGGATGATGGTGGCTGTGTCCTGGCCAAGGGATGTGGGATGAGCCCTGTGGTGGAGGCAGAACAGTGCGTAGGGAAGAGACCTGTCAGGCCGCTTAGGAGGGAGATCAAAGGCTTTGCAGTGCTACAGAGAAGGTGCCCTGCACAGGACAGCTTCAAAGAGGCCATTTGTTCTCAGGGCTGAATCAAAAATGGAATTGCAGTGTAATTCATCAGTATCTCGCCATTGCCTACGCAATGTGGATGCACACCTGGGGGAATCAGCACTACAGGATTTATCTGTTTCTAAAGGATACTCTTTCCCAGAGATATTACAAAAGTTCCTAAGCCACTTCCCTGGTCACTCACATTCCTCTGTGCTGTGCATGCACATCTCAAAGAAACACGTCCATGTCCCCCTCATGATAGCCAGGCATACTCCAGCCAGGGAAGACAGCAGAGTGAGGAATGGTGCCCATGTTTCATGGAAGATAAGGAGATCTCACAGCACCGTGGCAAAGATTTCTCCTCAATCCCAGAGTGCCACTGGATGGGGTTGAGCAGCCAACCCCCAGTCTACCAGCTGAGAAGCCTGAAAAACTCGAGCAAGCCACCAGCTGTGGCTCTGCAGTCTTATTTTCCTTCACATCATTAACCCTTTGGCTGCTTTTAAAAGAAAAATTCCTATTGACTGTTTTGTATTAGAAGTCTATTAGCACGAAAATCACACCCATACACACATATATATATATTTCTTCTTTTCCACGCAGAAACTACTGGGGAGTACTTGGTTTTGAGCATTGAGATTACAGGGGTGAGAGCAGAGCCAGCCAATGGCCACATTCCCATGTGGGTGGCTTCATGGCTCTCATTTCCAAATGTCAAAGGGTGGTGGCTTTACTCGCCTGGTTGTGAGGAGTTGCTCTGAGAAAATTGAGAGGATTGAGCTTGACTTGAGAGGATTTCTGTTTCCAGTGCCTTAATCAACATCATATTTGAAACGAGGATGGAAAGTCAAATGGGTACAGAGCCTGAATGAACTGGAAAAATGAGGACCGCCGACTTTGTCAGAGCTAAGGAAATCACTCTGGTATTTCTTCCCCTTCACAAAGCAAGTAAAGAATTTTGGAGCCATTTTACTGGCTTACTGAGTCATTCTGGATGCCGAGCAGAGTAATTAGCTCTCTCCTCCTCAGAAAAATGTACTTTTCCCTGTGTCTACCATGCGAACCCGTTGAGCAGCACACGCACATATCCACAGCTCTTGCTCCTCTTGGCCTGAGACACACAAAGAGGGGAACAAAGCGAAGATTGTGTTTTGGGTTGCGGTAGTTGCATTGAAATGTCAGCGCATGGGAATAGTTTCTGTCATCTGAGCTTTGCTTTTTAATTAGAGCAACAGCCACTATGTTATAAATGCCTAGACTCCAGCAAACCCAACAGATTTTTCCAAAGCTTGCTGCACTATTTTTAACGCACCAAACTGAATTCAGATTAAAAACAAAACACAGCAGAAAAATACTGGCTTGATGATCAGTTCAAGGCCATTAAATATCTTTGCATCCCTAATTGCTGCAAGACAGTCCCCGTGATTCTCTTGGCAAGTCATTCATGGGTTCCTCCAATGCCAAAACCCTTTGTAGCCTCTTCAGTGAGGCTTCAGTATGTACTTGTGGGACCGAGGCCATTTTCCTATGACTGGCAGGTCTCTGTGGGCAATGGAGGCTGTGAGGTAGTGCATCCAGAGCCTGGCCAGCACTCTTGACCAATGCTGGCTCTGCAACTGAAGCCGGCCCTGGTGAGCCCAAGGCAGCTGCTGGATGTTCTTGTAAAGCAGCAAGAATGAACAGCAGTGTCTCTCAGACTCCAGCATGTTACAGAGTGTGAGGAGTACGTAAACATTTGAAAAAATAAAAACGGCTTCAAACAGGCTTTTTAAAAATGGCATAAAATGTAATACTAGAGGCCATTTTCTCTTTCCTCTCCTTTCTGTCCTCCCCATCTAGTGGTAGTGCAGTCCATCCTCATGCAAAAGTTTAACTGCTAGTGATACCCAAGGTTTTGGACAAGCAAACCATACCAACATATGTTCCTCACATGCTCAGGGTAGTACAAACAAGAAGAAACCATTTTGTTTCTAGCACCTTTGCCATTAAACTCAACAGCTACCAACTGGCCTTTCACCTCTCATTGCTTTTCCTTGCTGTAATGACTAATATCACATGTTTAAAAGCCTTATATTATTAAACATGATGGAATACTAATATTAATATTAATATATTAATATATTGTTATTTTTGTGAATAATTTTGAAACAAGCAGCCTAGCTTCATTCACATTTAGTGAGGACATTTGATGCCAAAGCAGCCTTATTACCTAGTTTACAAAATATTTTGAGCCTAATGCATTAGAGTGCTACAAGGTTAATTGTGATTAGTACTCCATTAGAAGCAATTGTGTGCCCTTTCTGTGTTAATGGAAGCTAGAGTATGAACATTTCAGTTACTTGTCAAAGGTTGAAATATTTCTATGTCTGCTATAAATGCTAAGAAACTTCAGCTCAGCTTCTCAAAATCAGCCTTGCTAGTTCCTGGTTGCATTCTGTCATTAGTACAGAAAGACTGAATATTGACAATATGTCAGAAAGACTGAATATTGACAATATGTCTCAGTATAGTCAATAGATTGCAAAAAGTTCTTAACGTAACTTCCTTTCTCTATGTACTCTCAAAAAATTAATGAGATCCTTCCTCGTAGTGACAGAGCCCACCTTTGCCATGCTGTCCCTTTCAACGAACTTCCAAGACTGCATCATGCCATTGCATCATGAACATTTTCTCCTTCCTAAAAAGAAAAAAAATCTCTTTCCTAAAAAGAAAGACCTCCTTTCCCATAGTGTTCTGTTCAGGAATGTTATAAAGGATGGGAACCATGACTTACCACATACCCACATGCCTCAGTTCTGCCTGAGTCCTATTTCACATTTCAGAGCAATGTACATAAGCAGAAAATCGATAGGAATCACCCTACCTAAACCTAAACCATAGTCATCTAAAAGTCAGTAGTGACTACTCCAAGTTAGTCATGTGAGTTCCCCCACAGGCACTGGGGAGGAGGGTGGTATCTCCAGAGGATGATTCATCCAGTCTTAAACTGGATTTTGGAGACACGTGGGCTGATTTTCCCATTGGAATTATGTGGTCCTCTTCCTCTACTGACAATATTCTTTAGACTCAGTGTCTAGCCAGGCAACATAGATGAGACACCTCGCCTGTAGACAGTTATGTTAGATGAATCCTATTGTACATTTCATTTAGGTACCGTGGTGAAATGAATGAAGTCCAGACACTGCTCAGCTGAAAGTTAGGTACAAAGCAGTGGGGCTGTGGAGCAGCCTTACCTTGAGACATTCAGGCTGTATGGGGCTCCGAGCAACCTGGTCTAGTTATAGGTGTCATATATAGGTGTTCATTGCAAGGAAGTTGGACTAGATGGCCTTTAAAGGTCCTTTCCTACACATAAAAGTTCTATGATTCTATGATGAGCTCTTGGCAGTGAAAGTAAGATGTCTGCCACATTCCTCACTGCCTAATACAGAGTCTGAAGAGTTCAGAGGGAGTTTTTATTTTTGTTTGGATTCTTGGCCAAGGGCTCTTCCTTCCTTCCTTCCCTCCTTCCTTCCTTCCCTCCTTCCTTCCTTCCTTCCTTCCTTCCTTCCTTCCTTCCTTCCTTCC